TGAGTTGCAGAGTCTGTCTATCTACGCGAAATCTAGTCCTTGTTATTTTGCGTGGGTGCTGTGCATTCGCATAGTTTGCAGCATCTTCAATGTTTCGGACAAAAGTATTGACCGCATCATCAATATCGTCTGCACTGTTGATCTCAGTGTTGAGCAAAATTTTGTCATTTAGATAGCTCTGAAATTTGTTGATGTTAGCATTCAAATCTAGCAAGTGGCCTTTTGCTCTGCTGGTGACAGGCTTCTCAACCAGCTGGACTTGCAACGGGAGATGATCAGAGCTAAGCTCGAAAGAGTCAGTGATGGCCAGCAAATCTCGCCTGATGCCTTTAAATAGCGCAAAGTCAATGGCAGACGGAGTTTGGCGTGAATTAAACGGAAAATGGGTGGGCGACCCAGTTGCCAGAATGTTGCAATTCACTTGTAGAATACTATTGACTAGCGTTCGGCCACGGAGACAAGATCTGGCGTTGCCCCACCACTGACTTTTCGCATTCCAGTCACCACCGACTATAAAAGTGTCACCCAGAGAAGATAGCAGGTTGTTGAAATCTTGCCCAGACCAGATGACTTGCGGCGGGCAGTAGATTGAGACAATATTGATATGACGGCCATTTTGCAGGCTGACTGAAACTTCGACAGATTGATGCGAGTCGTAAGATGTAAAGCGCATAGCATAATGGCATATATGTTGTTTAATTAAAAAGGCTGCACCTCCTCTGCGCCTGTTTGAGGGGTGATTTGCTAAATAAACAATATAACCATTAATATCAATGCTATCGCTATCAGTCAGATGCGTTTCAGACAGTAGCATTATATCTATATCGTGCTTGACGAGATATAGGTTGAGCTCATTAAGCTTTTTCTTGACACCGGCAGCATTCCAAAAAGATATCTTGATGTTGTTGACACGTTGAGTTACAGCATGCTGCAGTGCAGCGCTGCGTCTACTGGCATTTGGAGAAGTGGATACATTACTAGACATTTGAAGGCTCATTGGGACCAACTCTGGCCATCAAGAAGGCAAAGACAGTGGTCATCATCTCAATGAGTTTATCTAATTTAGCCTCTAATCTAGAGCTAACTTGTACTGGCATGCTTGGCATATTCGCATTTATTGGCTGCTCGAAACGTTGATAATGAACACCCCCACTAATAGGATGCGCACCCCCATCTAAAGGTAGCTGATGCCTACGGCGCGTACTTAGGCTACGGCTGCGTTTTGGCTGCGGCGGCCGCTGCGCGCTTGCCTGCCTAGGCAAGCGGACTTGTTGCTGCTGCTGTTGCTGTTGTTGCTGCTGCTGTTGTTGTTGCTGGCTAACTTTGGTGGCTTTTTGCCTCGACTGACGCTGTTTACTGCTAATAGCTGCCGGTCCGACAGGCTGAGCAAATTGTAAACCCGCCCGAAGGGCAGCCGAATAGCTGGGCCCTGCACTAACAGTTTGCGATCGTGACTGAGGGGGGGCTTGCTGTAAAAGATTTGGCATATTAGACATGTTTGGCATATTTGCTCGACTGCTCTGAGCAGCAGTAGTGGCAGCTGGCTTGGCTAAGTTGCTAATGACTTTAGCTAGTTGCGTGGCGCTTTCATTTTCGCGCTTCTTGCACGCTTCTTTATACGCAGGGCAGCCTTTGTAGCTCGCGGCATGCGGGCCGGAGCAATTGGCACACTTCGCTGGAGTTTGGTCGCCTTTTTGCTTGCCACAGTCCGTGGAAGCATGATTGGCGCCGCACTTGACGCAGGCGAAGGGGCGACGGCAGTAATTTTTTGTGTGCCCGAACTTCTGGCACCTATGGCATTGAGCAATTTCGTTGGTTTTATACGGCCGCTCAATTTTGACGCGCTGATTGCCAATGGCCGTAATTTGCAGCAATTCTGCGTTGTTTGCGCTGGCGGCCAACTCAACCTCGAAGAGATCGAGAGGCTCTTTTGAAAATCGAGACTTAATGCCTCTTAAAAAGCGGACTTCGTGCCCTAATTTGGCCAACTGCTCACGAATATAGTGATCCGGAGTGGAGAAGTGCAAGTGCCGAATAATGGCTCTATAGCCGCGCTCGCATTTTAATTGAAAAGTGTAATTTTCAATTGAATTAGCATCGAGGTACTTTACCAATTTGCGGTGCGTGGCGACGTCCTTGCACTGGACACGAATGCCGTGGTTAGCAGCAGGCTTGGTGGAGTAATTGTCCTGGCCAATAGCATCATCCAGGCGAATCAATAGCGGCATAATATCCGTCACGTTGGCGATAAATAGCGGCGCTGGCTTTGCACTCGGTTGCGCATGGCTGGCTCCAGTTGTAGTGGCGGCGGCAGCAGCAGTAACGGCGGCAGCACTAATAGCAGCTGCAGCGGCAGCATTAGGTGGCATAACTTGCATTTTTGCGGCTGTGCAAACTTTATTGGCAAGGCAAGTTGCCTCTCGCTGCGTGTCCTCAGTCCTGGCAGTCCGTATATAGTCGTCGATTTGCTGGCAGTCCTCGTCACTGCCATCCAGAACAACTGCGCCCAGCTGCGCAGTCTTCTTCTTGGGGCTGTCGCCTTTTTCAGCAGTCCTCTTTGCTGCTCTCTCACTAGAGAGCGGCTTTGTAGCACTTTGCATTGCATTTTTTGCAGCAAGATATTCGGCGACCATAGATTCCGCAGAAGTGGATGGTTTTGCCTTTAATTGCTGAGCCGCAGCTCGATTTTTTTTTTTTTTTTTTTTTTTTTTTTTTTTTTTGTTGAATAGTCACGTCTGCTCGAGGCTGTGCCGTAGACTGACTGACTATATTTATTTATTTACTGCTATACTACTGTATAATATAGTAAATTTGTTGACGCCTACTGTGTGTAGGTCTCAAATGTGAGTGTTACATTAAATGTGAAGTGACATACAAAAGTAGTTTGATTAATTTTGTGTAAATTTGTTGACGCCTACTGTGTGTAGATCTCAAATGTGAGTGTTACATTAGATGTGAAGTGACATACAAAAGTAGTTTGATTAATTTTGTGTGAATTTGTTGACGCCTACTGTGTGTAGATCTCAAATGTGAGTGTTACATTAAATGTGAAGTGAAATACAAAAGTAGTTTGATTAATTATGTTTTAGTGAATGTATAGATATCTTGATTAAGAATTGCATCCGGCCAGGAAACGTCATCTCTTCCGGGACTGGCATCCTGTTTGGGATTCTGTATGGAAGAACCAGTATTTTAACTGGAGCCAGGATCCTGTCTGGAACCGTCGATTTGAATAAGATTGACATCTCGACTAGAGCCAATATTTCGACTGGGAATGGAATTTTGTCTGGAGCCATCGACCTGATTGAAACCATTATTTTGACTGGAGCCAGTATCTTGCCTGAAACTATCGTCCCGCCTAAAACTGATATTCTGATATGAGTTGAAGTTCCGATTTAAGTTAACAGGATGATTAAAAGTAGAAACTGCATTTTTAGAAGGGATAGTAGCAACATATATGCAACCATGTGCCCGTCTCTGCTTGGCCTGTAATAGTTCCCATTTCCGCTTAAATATGTTTGATTGCAAGTGATTGTTGAGCATCACGGAGTAACGCTTCCACTTCAGCCGTTGCGGAATGCACGGGTAGTTACCAATTCGTCTTGCCTCAGGATTGGGATGAGCAAGAAGCCGGCTCACATATTTATAACACAGTTTATTATAGATGCTTTCAACAGTGTCTACTTGCAGATCTATATGAAGTGTGTTATTACTGACATACCACGGTGCACCTGTTATTTCTCTAAGTATTTTATTTTGTGCTACTTGCAGCTTATTAAATCTGGTCTCGCATATCAGCGCGCCCCATATAGGAAGAGCATATTGCCAAATCGGCGCAATAAGCAGCTTATATAGTAATATTTTAAGTTTTAGTGGCAGCTTACTTCTAGCTCCAATTATCCACTTTAACTCTTTAGTTCTCGTTCTAAGCTTGCCAATTATATTATTAATATGAGTTTTTAACAACAGTTTGTTATCCAGCTGTATGCCCAAATATCTATGGCTAGTTTTGTTGTCAATATTATTACCCGCAATTGTGACAACACTTTGATGATCATATTGTACTTGTCGAATTGAATGTATCACATGAACTGTTTTGGAATAGTTGAGTTTGATACACCATTTTTTGGTCCATTCGTGAAATGTGTTGAGATAATGATTAAGGTGTTGTACAGCATGTGTCAAACTAATATTGCTCGAGAGAATTGCAGTGTCATCAGCATATGTTCCTAGCATCATGCGTGCAGTTGGACGTCGAACGCTGGATATGGCTGGTAGTGGCATGTCCGCAGTGTAGAAATTATACAGAATTGGGCTCAAAACGCCTCCCTTGTGGAACACCAGCAGCGATTTGTTTAACACTTGATCGTGTGCCATCGAAACACTCCACTATAAATGTACGATTTTTGAGATAACTATGTAGGATGTTAAATAGTACATTTGGTAGTAACTTCTTTAGCTTGTATAGAAGCCCTGGGTGCCAGACACGATCAAAAGCTTCAGAAATGTCCAGATAGACGGCTGAGCAGAAATAATTATCTTCAAAAGCTTCCATAATGAATTGAGTGACACGACCAAGTTGCTGTTCTGTGGAATGCCGACTACGAAAGCCAAATTGGTGATCAGGCATTGCCTTACAAAACGCCTCCACCTCAAATAGCCTATTCATAATTAACTTCTCAAGGATTTTGGATAGCCCTGAGAGTAAGCTGATTGGCCTGTAGGAAGTCAGCTCATGGGCTGGCTTACCAGGTTTAACTATCATTCTGACTCTTGCGCATTTCCATCGGCTGGGAAAGTGTCCAAATCTGAGCGCACTGTTGAATATAAGAGTTAAATACAGCAGTGCCTTTAGAGGAAGTGCTTTGAGTGTCCAGTTATCAATGAAGTCTAACCCAGGAGACTTCTTAATTTGAAGATCATTGATTATGGTCATAACTTCTTGAACAAGTATAGGTCGAAATTGCACAGGAGGCAAGCTACCACTGTCTAAATCTGGCTTTCAGCCTGCATGCGAGGGAATCACATACACAATTGCCCTGCTTTTTCTCGCCTCAAGCTTTAGGCTGCCCAGCAGCGTAAAGGTGAGAGAAGAGGGAACAGGGTGTCTTTATTCATTTCTCAGTGCTTTGCGTTAGTACTTTCTAGAAATTAGTTGGCAGCTTATTTACAATTCACTTATGTGGTAAGTATTATAAGCTAGTAGTAGGCGAAACTTAATATAAGTGTTTATTAATAAAGTTTGAATTTTACAAATAATTGAGTGTTTTCTTTTTATATACATATATATATCTATCTAGTAAAGTTGTAGTTATTTATACAGATTTAATTTGGTGGGGAAGAGTAAAGACTAAGTCAGATTTTCTTCGTTAAATTCAATTTAGATTACTATTCTTTAAATTCAATTTGGATTACTATTCTTTAAATTTAATTTGGATTACTATTCTTAAATATAATTACATTTAGCTGGTTTGTTAGTTGTATTGTTGATTTGATAACTCTAGGGGCGTCATCAGTCGCTGTCATCCAGTCTTCAGTGGCCCGGAGGGGAAGACAGAAGAAGGCGCTGCTGTCGATGCTCTTATTTGTAGCTATGTCCAGGTTGTAAGTACTCCGTGGATCCAGGAGAGAGGCTAGTCTGAGACTTGCTATTTATTCATAGGCACCCTTTATTTTCTGGCTTTTGCTTACTTTGTTTCTTTCCATAGTGTTCGTCTTTATTTAGAATTTCTTATATCGTGATTGTTTATTTATTTGCTTTGCTTGATTTTTTTTTTGAGATTTTTATTTATTGTTGGTTTTATTAGTAAGAATATTAATTTATTATTAGCTTGCTATGGGCTTTAACTTTGGTTATATTTAAGTTTTTGGATTTATTATTATTATTTATTTATTTTTTGTTTGTTAGATTTGACTGCAAGATTCACTCAGTAGCGTGTATAGCGAGGTGGGTATATTATTGAAATATCGTGTATTAGTTATAAGTTTATTTATTTGTTTTGTCTATCCATTTTAACATTTGTTTTATTTATTAATTTATTGTTAAGTGTTTTTATTATTTGCTTTGTTAAATCGATTATTTATTTATAATTATGGTTGTTTAGCGTATTTATTTTGTTTTTACTTAGGGTTTTGCACTTTTATTAGAAAGTTTTGTTGCGAGTGTTGCATATGTAATTAGAAGTTTAGCCCGTTTTGTTTTGTTGCTTGTGTTTTTAGTCTTTATTTGCAGCAGGAATTAGTTGAGGCGGCCATGTTGTAAGATTGGTAAGTACATATTTGTTTTCATCGTTTACTTGCATATTTATTATATTAAGTATCATTAAAAGTTGTCGGCAGGAGTAGTTCAACTGCATGTATTGCGGTGATTTATTTATTGGAGTAGTTCAACTGCATGTATTGCGATGATTTATTTTATTGGATCGTAGAATTATTTGTGTTCGCGCGCGGTATTTGTTAAATTTGTGCTAGCGTAGCTTGCGCGTCAATTTATCTTTGAGTAGGGTTGCTTACTTTATCATTATCGAGTTTTAGTATTTTGTACAATTTTATCGTTATCGAATTTTAAACATTTTGTGTATTTTCAGCTTTGTTCTTATTTGGTGGTTGGATTCGTTTGGTAAGTAGTTTCAATTTATTAGGATTCAGGAATTAATTATTGTTTGGTGAGTACTGTGTTATAGTTTAAAGTTGTTTATATTGTTTCAATGTAATTTGTTTCATTGCAGGTGGCACCAGAGAGGACAGCCAAGTTGATGATGGATGGGTGAGTATGTGCTTATATATGTAGCAAAAGGACTGGCTTTATTATTATAAATCTTTTTATTTCCAGATAAGACGTGGAAAGTTACCAAGTCTGATTTTATAGTATATAAATAGGTTATTTGTTATTCTTAGGTTATTGTTTTGTTTGTAGAATTGTCATTAGTTTATTGTTTTGCTTGTTTCCCTTAGTCTGAGTTATTGTTTGTTTAGACTTTGTTTCATTTAGTGAATTTTAGTCTTTTAGGAATATTTGTCTTGTTATTTAGTGTAGTAGTTTAAGTTTAAGATTGCATTTGCCTGGGGTAATTTGAGTTTTAATATATGGCGCAGAGTATTTGTTTCCTTTGTGGCTATCGAATTTTGACAAATAGCGTACTTTAGGATGTGTTCGTACTAGGTGTTTATGTTTGGATTATATTAAGTTTATTTATTATACGCAGGTAGCTAAGTTGTTATTTAATAGGTCTTTTATAATTTATATATTTTTATTTTTATTTTATTTTATTTGTTTATTTATTTTATTTATTTATTCTTATTTTTTGTGAGCAATACGTGCGAGGGTGGGTATCAAAGTTGCTTCCTTTTGTTTCTTGTTGAAGATTACTGCTTTGTCAGCTTCTTTTCCTTGCTTAGACTTGTCTTGTCTTCAGTATTAGCGTTTGATTTAGTGTTTGGTTGTTATGTGCTATATATATTTATTGTTTGATTTTTATTTTTATTTTTTTATCTGATTGTTGTTTTATTAGTTATATTATTATTATTAGTTAGTTATAGTGTAATTACTAGTTAGTTGTATTGTATTATATTATTAGATATTTAGAATTGCATTAATATGTTGGGGATGTCAAATAGTTTACCAGTTTTTATCGTTTAGGAGGCTTGTAGTTTGTATTTGTGAGGAATATTGTATAATATTGTTATTATTAGTTAGTTATAGTGAAATTATGTTATTCTAGTTATTTTTTTTTTTTTTTTTTATTTATTTATTTTTATTTTTTTTTGTTTTTTTTTTAGTTTAGGTTTTGCAGCGAGCAGCTTGTTGATTGTAAGTATAAATTTGACTATTTATGATTTAGGGGCTTGTAGATTGTAGATGTGAGGATTATTGTATACTTTTGTTTTTATAAGTTAGCTATAGCGAATTATGTTATTTGTTTGCTGCAGGTATATTATTTCACTAGATAGTTGTAGGTGTGCGGGCAAGTTGCAGAGCATTTGTTTATTTTCCTTATTAGAGTATAATTTCATAGCTTCCCAGTTTTGTTCAATTATTACTGTTGCCTAATCTAGTTATTTTTTTTTTTTATTTATTTTTTTTATTTTTATTTATTTTTATTTATTTATTTATTTGTTTTGTTTTTGTTTTAGTTTAGGTTTTGCCGCAAGCAGCTTGTTGATTGTAAGTATTAATTTGTCTATTTTGTATCTTTAATTCAGCAGTAAAATTTTAATGAGTTGTATCTTTCAGATAGCGCTTGAAGATGCCACTGTCTAGTACTTGTATTAAGTGTTCTTGTTTGATTAATGAGAGTATAAACTTTTTAGCCTGCATGCGAGGGAATCACATACACAATTGCCCTGCTTTTTCTCGCCTCAAGCTTTAGGCTGCCCAGCAGCGTAAAGGTGAGAGAAGAGGGAACAGGGTGTCTTTATTCATTTCTCAGTGCTTTGCGTTAGTACTTTCTAGAAATTAGTTGGCAGCTTATTTACAATTCACTTATGTGGTAAGTATTATAAGCTAGTAGTAGGCGAAACTTAATATAAGTGTTTATTAATAAAGTTTGAATTTTACAAATAATTGAGTGTTTTCTTTTTATATACATATATATATCTATCTAGTAAAGTTGTAGTTATTTATACAGATTTAATTTGGTGGGGAAGAGTAAAGACTAAGTCAGATTTTCTTCGTTAAATTCAATTTAGATTACTATTCTTTAAATTCAATTTGGATTACTATTCTTTAAATTTAATTTGGATTACTATTCTTAAATATAATTACATTTAGCTGGTTTGTTAGTTGTATTGTTGATTTGATAACTCTAGGGGCGTCATCAGTCGCTGTCATCCAGTCTTCAGTGGCCCGGAGGGGAAGACAGAAGAAGGCGCTGCTGTCGATGCTCTTATTTGTAGCTATGTCCAGGTTGTAAGTACTCCGTGGATCCAGGAGAGAGGCTAGTCTGAGACTTGCTATTTATTCATAGGCACCCTTTATTTTCTGGCTTTTGCTTACTTTGTTTCTTTCCATAGTGTTCGTCTTTATTTAGAATTTCTTATATCGTGATTGTTTATTTATTTGCTTTGCTTGATTTTTTTTGAGATTTTTATTTATTGTTGGTTTTATTAGTAAGAATATTAATTTATTATTAGCTTGCTATGGGCTTTAACTTTGTTTATATTTAAGTTTTTGGATTTATTATTATTATTTATTTATTTTTTGTTTGTTAGATTTGACTGCAAGATTCACTCAGTAGCGTGTATAGCGAGGTGGGTATATTATTGAAATATCGTGTATTAGTTATAAGTTTATTTATTTGTTTTGTCTATCCATTTTAACATTTGTTTTATTTATTAATTTATTGTTAAGTGTTTTTATTATTTGCTTTGTTAAATCGATTATTTATTTATAATTATGGTTGTTTAGCGTATTTATTTTGTTTTTACTTAGGGTTTTGCACTTTTATTAGAAAGTTTTGTTGCGAGTGTTGCATATGTAATTAGAAGTTTAGCCCGTTTTGTTTTGTTGCTTGTGTTTTTAGTCTTTATTTGCAGCAGGAATTAGTTGAGGCGGCCATGTTGTAAGATTGGTAAGTACATATTTGTTTTCATCGTTTACTTGCATATTTATTATATTAAGTATCATTAAAAGTTGTCGGCAGGAGTAGTTCAACTGCATGTATTGCGGTGATTTATTTATTGGAGTAGTTCAACTGCATGTATTGCGATGATTTATTTTATTGGATCGTAGAATTATTTGTGTTCGCGCGCGGTATTTGTTAAATTTGTGCTAGCGTAGCTTGCGCGTCAATTTATCTTTGAGTAGGGTTGCTTACTTTATCATTATCGAGTTTTAGTATTTTGTACAATTTTATCGTTATCGAATTTTAAACATTTTGTGTATTTTCAGCTTTGTTCTTATTTGGTGGTTGGATTCGTTTGGTAAGTAGTTTCAATTTATTAGGATTCAGGAATTAATTATTGTTTGGTGAGTACTGTGTTATAGTTTAAAGTTGTTTATATTGTTTCAATGTAATTTGTTTCATTGCAGGTGGCACCAGAGAGGACAGCCAAGTTGATGATGGATGGGTGAGTATGTGCTTATATATGTAGCAAAAGGACTGGCTTTATTATTATAAATCTTTTTATTTCCAGATAAGACGTGGAAAGTTACCAAGTCTGATTTTATAGTATATAAATAGGTTATTTGTTATTCTTAGGTTATTGTTTTGTTTGTAGAATTGTCATTAGTTTATTGTTTTGCTTGTTTCCCTTAGTCTGAGTTATTGTTTGTTTAGACTTTGTTTCATTTAGTGAATTTTAGTCTTTTAGGAATATTTGTCTTGTTATTTAGTGTAGTAGTTTAAGTTTAAGATTGCATTTGCCTGGGGTAATTTGAGTTTTAATATATGGCGCAGAGTATTTGTTTCCTTTGTGGCTATCGAATTTTGACAAATAGCGTACTTTAGGATGTGTTCGTACTAGGTGTTTATGTTTGGATTATATTAAGTTTATTTATTATACGCAGGTAGCTAAGTTGTTATTTAATAGGTCTTTTATAATTTATATATTTTTATTTTTATTTTATTTTATTTGTTTATTTATTTTATTTATTTATTCTTATTTTTTGTGAGCAATACGTGCGAGGGTGGGTATCAAAGTTGCTTCCTTTTGTTTCTTGTTGAAGATTACTGCTTTGTCAGCTTCTTTTCCTTGCTTAGACTTGTCTTGTCTTCAGTATTAGCGTTTGATTTAGTGTTTGGTTGTTATGTGCTATATATATTTATTGTTTGATTTTTATTTTTATTTTTTTATCTGATTGTTGTTTTATTAGTTATATTATTATTATTAGTTAGTTATAGTGTAATTACTAGTTAGTTGTATTGTATTATATTATTAGATATTTAGAATTGCATTAATATGTTGGGGATGTCAAATAGTTTACCAGTTTTTATCGTTTAGGAGGCTTGTAGTTTGTATTTGTGAGGAATATTGTATAATATTGTTATTATTAGTTAGTTATAGTGAAATTATGTTATTCTAGTTATTTTTTTTATTTTTGTTTATTTATTTATTTTTATTTTTTTTTTGTTTTTGTTTTAGTTTAGGTTTTGCAGCGAGCAGCTTGTTGATTGTAAGTATAAATTTGACTATTTATGATTTAGGGGCTTGTAGATTGTAGATGTGAGGATTATTGTATACTTTTGTTTTTATAAGTTAGCTATAGCGAATTATGTTATTTGTTTGCTGCAGGTATATTATTTCACTAGATAGTTGTAGGTGTGCGGGCAAGTTGCAGAGCATTTGTTTATTTTCCTTATTAGAGTATAATTTCATAGCTTCCCAGTTTTGTTCAATTATTACTGTTGCCTAATCTAGTTATTTTTTTTTTATTTATTTATTTTTTTATTTTTATTTATTTTTATTTATTTATTTATTTGTTTTGTTTTTGTTTTAGTTTAGGTTTTGCCGCAAGCAGCTTGTTGATTGTAAGTATTAATTTGTCTATTTTGTATCTTTAATTCAGCAGTAAAATTTTAATGAGTTGTATCTTTCAGATAGCGCTTGAAGATGCCACTGTCTAGTACTTGTATTAAGTGTTCTTGTTTGATTAATGAGAGTATAAACTTTTCAGCCTGCATGCGAGGGAATCACATACACAATTGCCCTGCTTTTTCTCGCCTCAAGCTTTAGGCTGCCCAGCAGCGTAAAGGTGAGAGAAGAGGGAACAGGGTGTCTTTATTCATTTCTCAGTGCTTTGCGTTAGTACTTTCTAGAAATTAGTTGGCAGCTTATTTACAATTCACTTATGTGGTAAGTATTATAAGCTAGTAGTAGGCGAAACTTAATATAAGTGTTTATTAATAAAGTTTGAATTTTACAAATAATTGAGTGTTTTCTTTTTTATATACATATATATATCTATCTAGTAAAGTTGTAGTTATTTATACAGATTTAATTTGGTGGGGAAGAGTAAAGACTAAGTCAGATTTTCTTCGTTAAATTCAATTTAGATTACTATTCTTTAAATTCAATTTGGATTACTATTCTTTAAATTTAATTTGGATTACTATTCTTAAATATAATTACATTTAGCTGGTTTGTTAGTTGTATTGTTGATTTGATAACTCTAGGGGCGTCATCAGTCGCTGTCATCCAGTCTTCAGTGGCCCGGAGGGGAAGACAGAAGAAGGCGCTGCTGTCGATGCTCTTATTTGTAGCTATGTCCAGGTTGTAAGTACTCCGTGGATCCAGGAGAGAGGCTAGTCTGAGACTTGCTATTTATTCATAGGCACCCTTTATTTTCTGGCTTTTGCTTACTTTGTTTCTTTCCATAGTGTTCGTCTTTATTTAGAATTTCTTATATCGTGATTGTTTATTTATTTGCTTTGCTTGATTTTTTTTTGAGATTTTTATTTATTGTTGGTTTTATTAGTAAGAATATTAATTTATTATTAGCTTGCTATGGGCTTTAACTTTGTTTATATTTAAGTTTTTGGATTTATTATTATTATTTATTTATTTTTTGTTTGTTAGATTTGACTGCAAGATTCACTCAGTAGCGTGTATAGCGAGGTGGGTATATTATTGAAATATCGTGTATTAGTTATAAGTTTATTTATTTGTTTTGTCTATCCATTTTAACATTTGTTTTATTTATTAATTTATTGTTAAGTGTTTTTATTATTTGCTTTGTTAAATCGATTATTTATTTATAATTATGGTTGTTTAGCGTATTTATTTTGTTTTTACTTAGGGTTTTGCACTTTTATTAGAAAGTTTTGTTGCGAGTGTTGCATATGTAATTAGAAGTTTAGCCCGTTTTGTTTTGTTGCTTGTGTTTTTAGTCTTTATTTGCAGCAGGAATTAGTTGAGGCGGCCATGTTGTAAGATTGGTAAGTACATATTTGTTTTCATCGTTTACTTGCATATTTATTATATTAAGTATCATTAAAAGTTGTCGGCAGGAGTAGTTCAACTGCATGTATTGCGGTGATTTATTTATTGGAGTAGTTCAACTGCATGTATTGCGATGATTTATTTTATTGGATCGTAGAATTATTTGTGTTCGCGCGCGGTATTTGTTAAATTTGTGCTAGCGTAGCTTGCGCGTCAATTTATCTTTGAGTAGGGTTGCTTACTTTATCATTATCGAGTTTTAGTATTTTGTACAATTTTATCGTTATCGAATTTTAAACATTTTGTGTATTTTCAGCTTTGTTCTTATTTGGTGGTTGGATTCGTTTGGTAAGTAGTTTCAATTTATTAGGATTCAGGAATTAATTATTGTTTGGTGAGTACTGTGTTATAGTTTAAAGTTGTTTATATTGTTTCAATGTAATTTGTTTCATTGCAGGTGGCACCAGAGAGGACAGCCAAGTTGATGATGGATGGGTGAGTATGTGCTTATATATGTAGCAAAAGGACTGGCTTTATTATTATAAATCTTTTTATTTCCAGATAAGACGTGGAAAGTTACCAAGTCTGATTTTATAGTATATAAATAGGTTATTTGTTATTCTTAGGTTATTGTTTTGTTTGTAGAATTGTCATTAGTTTATTGTTTTGCTTGTTTCCCTTAGTCTGAGTTATTGTTTGTTTAGACTTTGTTTCATTTAGTGAATTTTAGTCTTTTAGGAATATTTGTCTTGTTATTTAGTGTAGTAGTTTAAGTTTAAGATTGCATTTGCCTGGGGTAATTTGAGTTTTAATATATGGCGCAGAGTATTTGTTTCCTTTGTGGCTATCGAATTTTGACAAATAGCGTACTTTTAGGATGTGTTCGTACTAGGTGTTTATGTTTGGATTATATTAAGTTTATTTATTATACGCAGGTAGCTAAGTTGTTATTTAATAGGTCTTTTATAATTTATATATTTTTATTTTTATTTTATTTTATTTGTTTATTTATTTTATTTATTTATTCTTATTTTTTGTGAGCAATACGTGCGAGGGTGGGTATCAAAGTTGCTTCCTTTTGTTTCTTGTTGAAGATTACTGCTTTGTCAGCTTCTTTTCCTTGCTTAGACTTGTCTTGTCTTCAGTATTAGCGTTTGATTTAGTGTTTGGTTGTTATGTGCTATATATATTTATTGTTTGATTTTTATTTTTATTTTTTTATCTGATTGTTGTTTTATTAGTTATATTATTATTATTAGTTAGTTATAGTGTAATTACTAGTTAGTTGTATTGTATTATATTATTAGATATTTAGAATTGCATTAATATGTTGGGGATGTCAAATAGTTTACCAGTTTTTATCGTTTAGGAGGCTTGTAGTTTGTATTTGTGAGGAATATTGTATAATATTGTTATTATTAGTTAGTTATAGTGAAATTATGTTATTCTAGTTATTTTTTTTATTTTTGTTTATTTATTTATTTTTATTTTTTTTTGTTTTTGTTTTAGTTTAGGTTTTGCAGCGAGCAGCTTGTTGATTGTAAGTATAAATTTGACTATTTATGATTTAGGGGCTTGTAGATTGTAGATGTGAGGATTATTGTATACTTTTGTTTTTATAAGTTAGCTATAGCGAATTATGTTATTTGTTTGCTGCAGGTATATTATTTCACTAGATAGTTGTAGGTGTGCGGGCAAGTTGCAGAGCATTTGTTTATTTTCCTTATTAGAGTATAATTTCATAGCTTCCCAGTTTTGTTCAATTATTACTGTTGCCTAATCTAGTTATTTTTTTTTTTATTTATTTATTTTTTTATTTTTATTTATTTATTTATTTGTTTTGTTTTTGTTTTAGTTTAGGTTTTGCCGCAAGCAGCTTGTTGATTGTAAGTATTAATTTGTCTATTTTGTATCTTTAATTCAGCAGTAAAATTTTAATGAGTTGTATCTTTCAGATAGCGCTTGAAGATGCCACTGTCTAGTACTTGTATTAAGTGTTCTTGTTTCAGCCTGCATGCGAGGGAATCACATACACAATTGCCCTGCTTTTTCTCGCCTCAAGCTTTAGGCTGCCCAGCAGCGTAAAGGTGAGAGAAGAGGGAACAGGGTGTCTTTATTCATTTCTCAGTGCTTTGCGTTAGTACTTTCTAGAAATTAGTTGGCAGCTTATTTACAATTCACTTATGTGGTAAGTATTATAAGCTAGTAGTAGGCGAAACTTAATATAAGTGTTTATTAATAAAGTTTGAATTTTACAAATAATTGAGTGTTTTCTTTTTTATATACATATATATATCTATCTAGTAAAGTTGTAGTTATTTATACAGATTTAATTTGGTGGGGAAGAGTAAAGACTAAGTCAGATTTTCTTCGTTAAATTCAATTTAGATTACTATTCTTTAAATTCAATTTGGATTACTATTCTTTAAATTTAATTTGGATTACTATTCTTAAATATAATTACATTTAGCTGGTTTGTTAGTTGTATTGTTGATTTGATAACTCTAGGGGCGTCATCAGTCGCTGTCATCCAGTCTTCAGTGGCCCGGAGGGGAAGACAGAAGAAGGCGCTGCTGTCGATGCTCTTATTTGTAGCTATGTCCAGGTTGTAAGTACTCCGTGGATCCAGGAGAGAGGCTAGTCTGAGACTTGCTATTTATTCATAGGCACCCTTTATTTTCTGGCTTTTGCTTACTTTGTTTCTTTCCATAGTGTTCGTCTTTATTTAGAATTTCTTATATCGTGATTGTTTATTTATTTGCTTTGCTTGATTTTTTTTTGAGATTTTTATTTATTGTTGGTTTTATTAGTAAGAATATTAATTTATTATTAGCTTGCTATGGGCTTTAACTTTGTTTATATTTAAGTTTTTGGATTTATTATTATTATTTATTTATTTTTTGTTTGTTAGATTTGACTGCAAGATTCACTCAGTAGCGTGTATAGCGAGGTGGGTATATTATTGAAATATCGTGTATTAGTTATAAGTTTATTTATTTGTTTTGTCTATCCATTTTAACATTTGTTTTATTTATTAATTTATTGTTAAGTGTTTTTATTATTTGCTTTGTTAAATCGATTATTTATTTATAATTATGGTTGTTTAGCGTATTTATTTTGTTTTTACTTAGGGTTTTGCACTTTTATTAGAAAGTTTTGTTGCGAGTGTTGCATATGTAATTAGAAGTTTAGCCCGTTTTGTTTTGTTGCTTGTGTTTTTAGTCTTTATTTGCAGCAGGAATTAGTTGAGGCGGCCATGTTGTAAGATTGGTAAGTACATATTTGTTTTCATCGTTTACTTGCATATTTATTATATTAAGTATCATTAAAAGTTGTCGGCAGGAGTAGTTCAACTGCATGTATTGCGGTGATTTATTTATTGGAGTAGTTCAACTGCATGTATTGCGATGATTTATTTTATTGGATCGTAGAATTATTTGTGTTCGCGCGCGGTATTTGTTAAATTTGTGCTAGCGTAGCTTGCGCGTCAATTTATCTTTGAGTAGGGTTGCTTACTTTATCATTATCGAGTTTTAGTATTTTGTACAATTTTATCGTTATCGAATTTTAAACATTTTGTGTATTTTCAGCTTTGTTCTTATTTGGTGGTTGGATTCGTTTGGTAAGTAGTTTCAATTTATTAGGATTCAGGAATTAATTATTGTTTGGTGAGTACTGTGTTATAGTTTAAAGTTGTTTATATTGTTTCAATGTAATTTGTTTCATTGCAGGTGGCACCAGAGAGGACAGCCAAGTTGATGATGGATGGGTGAGTATGTGCTTATATATGTAGCAAAAGGACTGGCTTTATTATTATAAATCTTTTTATTTCCAGATAAGACGTGGAAAGTTACCAAGTCTGATTTTATAGTATATAAATAGGTTATTTGTTATTCTTAGGTTATTGTTTTGTTTGTAGAATTGTCATTAGTTTATTGTTTTGCTTGTTTCCCTTAGTCTGAGTTATTGTTTGTTTAGACTTTGTTTCATTTAGTGAATTTTAGTCTTTTAGGAATATTTGTCTTGTTATTTAGTGTAGTAGTTTAAGTTTAAGATTGCATTTGCCTGGGGTAATTTGAGTTTTAATATATGGCGCAGAGTATTTGTTTCCTTTGTGGCTATCGAATTTTGACAAATAGCGTACTTTAGGATGTGTTCGTACTAGGTGTTTATGTTTGGATTATATTAAGTTTATTTATTATACGCAGGTAGCTAAGTTGTTATTTAATAGGTCTTTTATAATTTATATATTTTTATTTTTATTTTATTTTATTTGTTTATTTATTTTATTTATTTATTCTTATTTTTTGTGAGCAATACGTGCGAGGGTGGGTATCAAAGTTGCTTCCTTTTGTTTCTTGTTGAAGATTACTGCTTTGTCAGCTTCTTTTCCTTGCTTAGACTTGTCTTGTCTTCAGTATTAGCGTTTGATTTAGTGTTTGGTTGTTATGTGCTATATATATTTATTGTTTGATTTTTATTTTTATTTTTTTATCTGATTGTTGTTTTATTAGTTATATTATTATTATTAGTTAGTTATAGTGTAATTACTAGTTAGTTGTATTGTATTATATTATTAGATATTTAGAATTGCATTAATATGTTGGGGATGTCAAATAGTTTACCAGTTTTTATCGTTTAGGAGGCTTGTAGTTTGTATTTGTGAGGAATATTGTATAATATTGTTATTATTAGTTAGTTATAGTGAAATTATGTTATTCTAGTTATTTTTTTTATTTTTGTTTATTTATTTATTTTTATTTTTTTTTGTTTTTGTTTTAGTTTAGGTTTTGCAGCGAGCAGCTTGTTGATTGTAAGTATAAATTTGACTATTTATGATTTAGGGGCTTGTAGATTGTAGATGTGAGGTTTTTTCTGTTTGTATGCCTTGACAGAACACACATTAATGATCTCTTATTCCCTTTCCTCTCATTCATATTAGCTGTCCAGCAGCTAGATGAAGAGGAAAAGAGAAAATAGAGATGCTCTTTATTCATACAATACTTTGACAATAGTATTTTCTTAGAATTAAAATTGCGCCTAAAAGATACTTTAAAAAATATACATTCGGTCGATATTTAGCGAAACTATGATTAGTTTAAATGGCCACAAGTGCAACAAAAGATAGCAGTGCACCATTGTGATATATGTGTACGTATAAAAGAGCAGATGACATTGATATGCTTAAATTGCTAGTTGTAAACTAATGAGTAAGATAGAGTATAAGTATTATAGATATATATATATAAGTAGTAATAATTAATATAATTCAAATATAAGTAGTATAAATATGTAATTAGAGATAATTAATATAATTAAATTCATATACAGCTGCATCTATGAGATGCGCAGATCAATTAGCTGCCATAATGCCGCCATTCAATTGAATGAGAAAATTCAAGACAAAGTCTAGTCATTTTCCCTTATAGGTTGTTTAAGCTAAATATAGTATTAGTAGTATAAGAGTAATATAATTAATAGTAATAGTTGTTTTCATTTCAATATTTGATTTTCAATAGGTTTTTCATTTCATTTTAGCATATTTAATTTAGTTAAAATTTATTAAATACATCGTAAGTGCGATCGTGAAAGTGATTGTGCATCCCTGTCTATCGATATGCAAAGACAAAACATATGTTTGAAAAGCATATGATGAAAAGGCAGAGTGCAATTAATTGCAAAAGTTGCAACTGAAAGAGATAAGTATGGATTCTAATAAGAATACTGAGATAATTATTAATAATTAGATATTAATTAATAAATTATTCGTCTGTTTCAGCAATTTCTCCCAAGTGCAAGTGAACGTGTGTTCGACAGGCCGAAGAAGTGAGTAATGTTAATTATACATATATGTATATAAGTGTTTA